TCCTTCCTTTATGGGGAAGAATATTGTATCCTGTGGCAGAATACAAAAAGGCCAGATACCAAGGGTAGCAAGAAGTCTCTTTTATAAAGGCCTCTACCTCATTAACAATGAAGGAGTCCTCACGGTCCACTCACCTCTCAGACACCCACCTCTTACTACTTGACTTTGACAAGGTGCAAGCACAAACCATAGTACTGTCTTTCTGCAAATACCCAGGGACAGGAAGAAAGGAGGCTGTGGAGAATTGAAGCTACTGGGTTCTTATTATCCTTTTCAGTACAATATTGTATGAGTCTCTCAATCACAAAGTAGTGTGGCTCTGTGAGCTTTAGTAAAACACAGCAATATTAAGTGGGATTATATTTTAAATCTATAAATGATAAAATTCCTACCAAGTTTCTTTTGAATTAAAGTCCAGAATATAGGGGATAGAAATGTTCATTAATGTGATATGATAACATTTCGGAATGAGTGATACAAATAAAATGCAGTCTTCATTTTCATTACTTCTGAAGACTCACAACCACAATCCTTTTACCCTCTGTGCTTATAACAATACATCTCTAATTATATTTTCCAAAGTAAAAGGGTATGTGGTTCTCTTCATAGTGACAAGCATGGTTTTTTGAACAATACACAGTAAAGGTCATACTGAAGATTTGAGTCACAAGCCCTATGATTTAAATTTGAGGCTAAGTTTAAAAATGGTAAGCTTGCCAAGTTCCATTAAAAGCCATGCTGTCATTTTGGATTTCCTAGAATAGAACAGATTCCTATGGGATATTGTACTTTTCTTAGTAGCAATACATAGATTTTTCTCTTTTGTGACATTCTCAAGCTCTGTTGTTATAGTAGATACCAAGCCCTGGAATATGATCTGTAATTTCATGAACCTGCTTTTTTCCAATATAAAATATTTAATTTTCTGACTTTTCAATATCAGAGGATATCTATAAGAACCTTATCATGTGTAAAAGCATTATCATGTTCATTCCTATTTTTTAAGTACTACTTTCCTCATAGAAACCTTTCTTGATTACATAATAGAATGCACACTCCTCATAAACCTCAGAGTACTTTTTCCTTTCAGATGTCACTCCTGCATGTGATGAGATCTTGTTATGTGCCTTTCAGAGCACCAGACTCTTTATAGAGGTTGTCTTACTCAATCCTCCAAACAGCCTCCAAAGAAACATACAAATGAGAAAGCAGAAATGAGAGAGTTTGAGAACAGTGACCAAGGTGATATAGCTAGTGAGTAAGAAGCAGGGAAGCAGTAGCCAGTGTACTTCTAGTCTGCTTTCATCTACCACCTTCTTATAGTCAACATCCTAGCACTGTCTCTATAAACAACAGTAATTTTCTTGGGAACAAAGGCTTTCTTATTAAGAGTTACTGGAATTTTCTGACTATTAGTTGACTCAGATAGCCAATGAAAAGTGGCTGAATGAATACTTAAATGTTAGCATTGGGATTTTGTGAAAAAGGAAATTGCTGGTTTGAGTGTAGAACCTAAAATTTTGTATGCGAGTAGTATGAAGGAAAAAGAATGCTAACTTATGACATTTTATGCAGAGTTTCTATTTGGTTTGCATCCCTATTATGTAGGCTCGAATCTGATTCAGGGCTTCCCCTGCATTGTTTGTTAAGCTCTTCTTCCATCTTTAATGCAAAGACTAATGAGCTTTATCACTTTTCTTTTTTCCTTTTTTAACTATGTCATGATCCAAGGCTTTCATTTCCAAGGAACTTGAAAAATGTTATCAATCAACTCCACCCACATTCTTTAATCATGACATAAGCTTCAATTGCCAGAAATAAAGCAAACTTTGAAAAATTATGTGTGGCCTTCTAGCTCCATCATCTTTTGAGGTACTTCTTGGTGCATTATGGGAATGAGCTACAAGTTCCCAGATTCAGACAAAATCGAGGATAATGAAAGCTGCCATTTTGACATAATTATTTTTAAATTTTTTATTCATTTTAATAAGAATAAAATAGCAGTGAAACAGTTTCAGAACAGGTTAGTAGGACAGTTACAATAATTAACACATTGCATATTGTTCTCTTCATAGTATTCAGAGGACAAAATGTCTCTGATATCTTGTTTAAACAATATTAGTACAAACGTTTCCTCTCATTGAACTAAGAGAGAGTAGCTGTATATCTATCCTAATGATCTTGTATATACTTATACTTTTTCACTGAAAAATGGTCCTTTATTTATTTCCCCTTTGTTTTGTTTTGTCAGAGATGGGTGTTCCATTGCTGTTAGAGAAGCTACATTTGGAGAAGTCTTTAAAAGACCTTTTCATACTTGATACCAGTCCAAATATTGTAGGGACTTGAATTCAGCAAAATAACCTGATATAGGCCAA